AATCTTTCTTCCCCTTTTTTTAGAATGGCCTCTGAGCCTGAGTGGCAGAGGTTTGATACAGGTGTCTTATTCAAGGATAAACGCTCTGCAGTTTCTTATTCTCTGCACTTTGAAGGCTACACCTTTTAGTCAAAGTCCAAAGTGGCCAGCAGCCATCTAGGTTTTACCACTTGAATTTTCCATATCCATACTGTAAGCGTTACACTGTCTGATCTACTAGCTTATATAACACCTTAGCCTCCTAGTGACATAATATTACTAATCTCATTTTTATTTTTAAAAAATGTGCCTTAGAGTCAGAAAGAAACTTAGCACATCACTAACAAGCAGAAAATTGGCCATGGGACTTGGTCTTTCCCCCACAATACCATAATCAGTCTACTTCCCCATAAGTGTCTCTGAAATGCCTTTTAAAGCTCGTGTGCAAATGAAATCACCTGTGGCAGCATTCTCAGGGAAATTCTGCCATGACATGACTGCATTCTAACCCCCATGTAACTGGACATTTGCACGGCTCTGCTTTTACCCACGGAATAGCTCAGAAGCAGAACAGAGCTCCCAAGACCTAGCTGCAGTCGTCTTTTCTTCTGGTATTCCAGCAGCACTGTGTGCTGAAGTTCCTAAACAGACCATAGGACTATGGACCAGGGGCTTGTCTCTGTCATCCTGACGGTGACTGATGACTCAAGAAATTGCTGCAGAATAAGGAAAATAACACCCCCAGAATTTAGGGCTCCACTGTGGACTTGGTCCATTAGGTTCTCCAGCTTCCCTAACAAGCTTAACTCTGCAGGAGAGCATACCCTGGACATGAGCTCACAAGCCAAGATTGTCGAACATTAACTAATATTATTTTTCTTTGATTTAAGGAGTCAGAAACAATCCATGCCAATCCCTCCACCCCTGCCAGCTTTATAGGCTCATCACCCAGCTCAGAGGGAGCCTAGTGAGCTGCCTGAGGGCCAATTTGTTTCTTAGGGAAGTCCCAACTCACACAAGAGAGAAGCAATTAGGCCTCCCCCAGGCATCCATAGACATACTTCTAAAAACTTTACTTTGGCAACAGATACCAGAAACCATCCAGACTGGCAATCATCCGAGCCTCTTGTAATGTGGTGTGTTGAATTAAGGCCAGGTTAATTTTTAGGGAACTACAGAATTCTGGCAAAGCTTTCTGTAAAATTACCTCTTCAGTTAAAAGTGACAAATGGAAAAGAAATGGTGACCCTCCTGCATAAGCAGAGTCCATGTGCCTCCACCCTACAAAAACACACACAGGAGGAACGGCCTGCCAGCAAGTGCATGCACTTATTTATGGTGTGTTTCACTGCTCTAGAAGGCATGGGAGTTGGGGGTGCTAATCTGGAAAAGGACTTTGTTTCTTAAGAAGCTCCCCTCTCCCATCCTTTTATATTTTAAAAGCAAACTGAGAAGTGGAGTAACACGGAATATTTTACACTCAATCCTTCTAGCTACCATTTCCAGGACTTCTAACCTACTATGATAAAAATCTGCCCTGGTGAAACTCGGCATGTCCAGGTGGATTGATGGTCAGTAACAAAAAGTTCTCTTTGAGCCATCTCGAGGCTTTGGCCGCCCCATGCCCATTCATTCCACCCTGTTCCCTGGCTGCTCCCTAATTTCTGTGTGCTCCAAGTCTTAAAAATCACATAAACAAAGGAAATTGTATGTAACAGAAAGTCTGTGGGGCACAGCTCTGCTCAATAGCACATGTCCAGGTGGATTGATGGTCAGTAACAAAAAGTTCTCTTTGAGCCATCTCGAGGCTTTGGCCGCCCCATGCCCATTCATTCCACCCTGTTCCCTGGCTGCTCCCTAATTTCTGTGTGCTCCAAGTCTTAAAAATCACATAAACAAAGGAAATTGTATGTAACAGAAAGTCTGTGGGGCACAGCTCTGCTCAATAGCAGCACTCGTCAACCTGTGTCTGGGGACCCG